AAAAGCTAATTCTGGTGATGTTATAGCAAATGCAAATCAGAGCCTTGCAAAAATATACTGATGTACAGTAAAGCATTGCACAGCTGTTAGTGCTTAGAGCAACAGTGTAATTGTAAGGAGACAGTATTGCATTTGACAAAGCGTTATATCTTTTTAAGTAAGCAATAACTGAAAGTTTGAGGATGTGATTTAATTTCTGATTGCTTAATGAGTATTTAATATCATGATCTTGCATGTCCAGTTTTTTAACAGGTTATTTTTCTAGATTTTTTTATATCTAGGAAGCTCTATGTTTTCTGATATGAATAAATGCAATTTAAGCATATATTCAACTGCTTTCAAAAAAAATTGGCTGTATGGATCTTCAAAAGTAACAAACAAAACATAGAAATAAGAATTAAAAAGTCCCCTATAATACACTACACTATAGAAAGAGCATTCCTGATTCCTTGCTTTGATTCTAAGGAAATATTACTAGATCTGAAGAAACTTGCTGTATGTAATCTTTTTAGAATACTCAGGTGAAGTTGTTATATGTGGCTCTGTTACACTTTTAATGGAAGAAAAGAGCCAAGTTTAAAAATCCACTTTATTCTGTTTCATTTGTGTGTGTTTTTTCTTACATTAGCCAAGCTTTTTACTTTTGGAGGTCACAGATCTGCTGACTTTACCTTAAAAGCCCTGATTGACATTTTCACACAGCATATATTCTTTGTTTCATGTGTCAATATTGTGGATCATGTAATTTCAAAATTGTTGGAAACTTGGTGATGACTATATACAGCTGTTAAGAAAAGTGCATACAATGTCTTGGGGGTTGAATCCTTCGCCCACTTCATGACTGAGCTTTGTAAAGAGGTGAATGTTAACTGTATTAATTACAGAAGACGATTTCTTCCGTAGAAATAGAATTTCCATTTTACCGTTTCATGTTTTGAATAAGGAAAGATAGACAAAAGTTGTGTTGAGGCATGCTGGGTAGCTTCACTGAGAAACTAAAAGGAAACAGGGAGAGCTAAAAAGGAATTTGGCATACACGTCACTGTGGTGCACTAGATCTGGTCACCATGAACTGGGCAGACATTTGGGTCCTCTGCTTTTTGTTCTTCTGTGCAAAGGGAAGGATATAGAAATTGAGTTTGGCCCTTGGTCTGACAGGGCATTATCTAATGCCCTCACTTAGAGTGATAGATATCTGCAACAGAAACAAGGTCTTGCTTTGGGTATGTTTTACTTGTTCAGTTTTTTTGTAGGAATTTAGAAACACTTGCCTTTCTCTCCCCTTCTCACACTTTCATGCTGTGTCAACAAACATCTATGAATGAGAGAATTTTCTGCAATTTGTCAATAAATGCATGCTGTGTTATTTCTCTTACACCTTGTCTCTTCTTTCCTGAAAAAATGGGGCCAGATCCATTCCTTTCCTTGCAGTGTACTGAAGCCTCTGCCACTGCATCCACTGACTTTAAGAAGGTCTCCATCATTACTAGAAAGGCCTTGTGAGTTGGAGATGGAGTAGATTTGCAAAATATAGTCAGTTATGCTAAGAACAATGAGGAGGTGAGACACTTGTATGTACTTCCTCCCTGGTTAATATGTTTTCTGAGCAGATGCCACACAACAACTTTGTAATATAAGCAAATACGAATGGAATGACAGTAGAAGAGAATGCATTAAACTGCATTACTTGAACGTTGTTCTAGGTAGGCGCTATATCTTGCTTCTCTGTTTGAAACTTCTTGGTTTTTCTGTAGTTCAGATGAGCATGATCAGGTTCAAATCAGCACCTCCATTCCTGGGAGTGGGTGCAGTTCTGTCCAAGCCGTGGAGGTCATTACGTGGATCTGCCATCACATGGATGCCTAAGCACTTAGCATTTGGACAAAGGGAGAATTATCACTGTTTCTGAGTCACTGTGTACACACTCGCTTCTCTTGTATTAAAAATAAAAATTCTGAGGAGAGCTTTTACTTACAAATGAAGAAACTCATTTTGACAAGCCGCCTCTTCTATTTTTACTTTCTGAGGAAAGATTATTGGTCATCTGGCTCTGAATACCTCAGTTTCAGTGTCAGAAAAGCTGAATTATGTTATTAGGAACTTAAATATCCCTAAAATAGGGTTAGTAATAGATATTGTAAAATATATGTGAAAATATAAGTTTTGACACTTCAGTGAGATGAGAAGCTTGAGACATCTTAAATGTCTAATGACTAGATTAATTAGGAAAAAATAATTATGGAGCAATAATTATGGACCAACTTAAGTCAAATTGTTTAGGTAGATGGGAGGAACAAGATCTGGTGCTTTTGAACCTTCATAAGCTTGGTGCTTATGTGAATGTCTTTAAGTACCTTTAGGCTCTGAAAGTGACTTATGTTCCTATGATACTTGCAAAGATGGTTCAGATATCTTGACAAAAGTGATGTTTTGATAGAAGTAGGAAGAAATAGCAAAATCTCCTGACAAGTAAAAGGTATTAAAACAAAATAGTTGAGGTTTCCAGATTTGCTGTCCGTGGTTGGTGTTGAGAGACTATCAAGGATAGAAAATGTAGAGTTTCCAAACCATACGGTGCCTCAGCTGCTTGTGGCTGGCTCAACTCTGCAGGGTCAAAGTGGGTGAGGGGTTGGGCCCTACCCCTTAGTTTTGCTTGAAGCATCATATCTATAGGCATTTAATACTACCTTCCAGGTCTTCCACTGGCAATGGAAAAGAGAGAATATGGTTTATCATATTTCACTAGTAGGAAATTTCAATATGTACAGGAGTTAAATAACTTGACTGTGATATATTGTCATACTTTGTTTTAAAAGATTATCCTTAGCAGTGGAGTTAATTGGTGTTTCAGGTTTTTTACAAATACTTTATGATGCTTTAATGGAGTAGATCAGGTTGGGGTTTTTTAAATTGCCAAAGAACAGGACTCGTTCATATATATGTTAAATTCATAAATTAAAAAAAAAAAGCTTGTACGCATTAAAAATAAATAAATAAAAGGACTACTCAAATCCGAATAGGCTCTAGGCCGATTAATGTATTCAGCTGCATGGTAGTTCTGTAGGAAACTATGCAGCAATAATAAAAAGATGCTAAGATGCTTCACGTTGATTTTAAGGTCAGTAGAGAAACTTAAAAGCTTCAGGCAAGGATCTGTGCAGGAGGTGAAATTGCTCACACATCCAGGAAAAATCACAAGTACCCTGCCAAGCACAGTATGAAGTTCTAAAGATAAGCAGATCTCCCTTTGTGCATTCATGATGCATAGTCATCAGAAGAATAAGGTTTTGCTTCCTTTAAAGTCTTAATGTGCTAGATTGAAGAGTGACAACCACGTGAAGTATCAACTCTTGCGTATTTAGCAATTGGGAAGAGCAATTTAAGACACAGAATTTGGTTGGGTTATATCAAAAGTTTCTTAGCTCCTGTAAATATTCAGCTGTGTAACACCCAGCATTTTTGTTTAAGAGAATTTTCTTCTAAAGGCAAAATTACGCAACTTCAAACATCAGTAATGGCAGAAGTATTTTTTTATGTAAAAGAGGAACTGAAATAGAATACTATTAAAATGATGCAGTGCAACTCTATGTCTTGCTAACTTTGCTTTTGCCTTTCTTGGCATGACTTGTGCTGAACTTGCTTTCCAAAGCAAAATTTGCTTGCTTGTTCTGCCTGTTATATAACTATTTCATAAGTCTGGGTAACTGTGATTCTCTTACCAAGCTCTCCTCTTCTCACTTTGGATGTGCAATAATTGGAGTAAAAGGAAAAAGCCAACTGCCCCAAATGGCTTTTGTCCTCCCTGTAAGCCTCTGCTGTGACTGATGCATTTTTCAGTCCCACTTCCATGTTAGACTCATGAAATCATTAAGGTTGGGAAAGACCACTAAGGTCATCTCATCCAACCATCAAAGTGCTGCTGTGCTTACTAGTCCTAGCATTTCCCTTGCTTTGATCAACCCACCTGTTCAAAACCCTATTTCATATTCCCTAAAAGTGAGGCAATGTCCCATAGGCACTTTGCTTCCCAGCAGGTTGCAGTGAAGGAGGAATGCATTCTAACTGCTCCCAAGCTGTGCAGGGATCAGAGGGCACCTATGAGGGCTCGTCTTAAATGGCACTGTGGTGAGCCAGGGTGGCCCTGGCAATTCTTCTGTACTGAGCTGAGTCTGGAGATATGGGATTTGTCCTCTTGGTATAGGACGATGGACTGCTTGTTAATGAGAGCCTGCTTAGAGCTCATCAGGGATGCATAAGTTTTCATGCGTGTACTTCTCTTTCCGACTGTAGGCAGCTAACAGGTGACAAGTCATTGATAGCTGCCCTTTCCTGAGTCAGACTTGGCCATTTTCCCGGCAAGTCTCCCCTGTGGCACGCTTGGACAGATGCTCTGGGCAGGCAGAGGAGGGAGGGAGGGGAGTGGTACATGCCGCTCTCAACTCTGGAGTTACTGCTTTAAAGAGGGGGGAGGGGGGGGAGGGGGAGGGGAGAGGAGCGTCAAAAGAAGAAATGAGAGCC